GTATTTGTAGAGTTAGAGGAAATTTGTTATCTTCTATTGGTTATTTCTGTAAGATCCAGATGGACAATATCAATAACATTGTCAAGATGGAAGGAGGAGGGGCAGCTAGGTGGTGCAGTGGATAGAGTACTGGCCCTAAAGTCAGGAAAACCTGAGTTCAAATCCAGCCTCAGATCAAACACTTGACACTTATTAGTTGTGTGACCCTGGGCAAGTAACTTAACCCCAGTTGCCTAAAATAAATAAATAAATAAATAAAAAGATGGAAGGAGGGGTTGTTACTAGCCCACATTCCAGACTTTCAACCAATCGTATTACCCCTGCCTCAATGATGCTGTCAGTCCTTTAACCAATCATATTATTTTCCCCACCTACCAACTTCTGTGCTTTGTTCTATGCTTATAAAAAAGGGGCTGCTTCTCCTCCTTGAAGTCTTTCGGCTCACTGAAGAAGCCATTGATCCTCTTTATTTGTAAATTCATGCTTTACTAATAAATTGATAATGCTTGGTTGTTTGTACTTCTGTTTATTTGATTTTACTTGTGATGCCCCTCTGACTTAATAAAATTCTTTAAAAAAAAATAAACCCTTTTTAGGTTTTGGGTTTATTCTGACCAACATGTCACATGTGAAGATATGAATTGCAATATTTGGCAACTAATTGCTATATAGGAGACCAGAGAGTGAAGAGTTTAGGTAATGCCAAGATTACAACCTGAGACACTGGAGGATGATGATGCCTTTAGCAGAAATAAAGTAGTTCTGGGGAAAAAGATAATTAATTTAGTTTTAGATTTTTTGTGTTAAGATGTCTTTGAAACATTGACTTTGAAGTATCCAGAAGGCAATGTGTTATATGGGACTTATGTTCAGAGAAGAGATGGGCTAGATATGTACATCTGGAAGTAATCTGAATAGAGATGATAGTCAAACCCATGGAAGCTGATGAGGTAACTAAGAGAGTACAGAGAAGAGCATCTAGGACAGGACCTTAGAGGATGAGCCAGAGACTGAAAGGGAGCAGTCAAGACAAAAAAGAAAACTACCCTGTGATTATGATGAAATACTATTGTACTATGAGAAAATGATCAGCAGGATGCTCTCAGAAAAACCTAGAAAGACTTGCATGGGCTGATGCAAAGTGAAATGTACTGTGCATAAAGTAACAGCAAAATTGTAAGATGATCAGCTGTGAATGACTTAGCTCAGCAATACAGCACTCTGAGACAACTCTGAAGGACTTAGGATGAAAAATGTTGTATATCCCCAGAGAAAAAACTGATGGTGTCTGAATATGGTTTGAAGCATACTTTTTTAAACTTTATTTTTCTTGAGATATTTTTGTCCATGTTTTCTTTCACAACATGACTATTATAAATATGTTTTGCATGACTATACATGTATAACCTATATTGAATTACTTGCCTTCTCAATGTGGAGGGGGGGGTGTGGGGAGGGAGGGAGGAAGGGAGGGAATTTGGAACTCAAAAGTTTTAAAAATGAGTGTTAAAAATTGTTTTTACATGTAACTGGGGAAAATAAAATATTAAACAAATAATCAAAAAAGAAAAAAATAGACAAAAAAGGATAAAGCTGGAAAAGAAATTTGAACACCAAATAAAATGGGTGTTTACATATACATAATAAAATGGAAAAAGAGGATTGTCCATAAAACTGCTAATCTCTATTATGTGCAGCTTACTTTTAAAAATAATGTATATAAATTCAACATACAACTTTCAAAGCTATCTTGTCTGATTCTTTGTCTTCCTTTGTTCTTTTCTATTAAAAAAAACTCTTTGGTTGACCTTTTTTCTTTCTTCCTTTTTTCTTTCTTCCTTCCTCTTTCCCTCCTTTCTTTCTTTCCTCTTGTCCCTCCTCCCCCTCCTTCCCTCAGTCTTTTCTTTCTCTCTTCTTCCTTCCCCTATCTCTGTTGCATATTGCCTTCCTACCCTCAACTGCCTTTGAAAAAAAAGAAAAAAATTTGTATGAAGTAGGCATAATCAAGCAAAACAAATTCCCACATTGGTTGTGCCTGAACATATACTTCTTATTTTACATCGAATCAAGTCACTTCTTTGTCAGTAGCTGAGTATCCTGAGCTTTGTCCTCAATCCTACGTAATTTTTGTTGGTTATTGCATTAATCAGAGGTCTTAAGCCTTTCAAAGTTGTCTTTTCTCCATAATCTTGTTATTGTATAAATTGTTCTCCTGGTTTTGTTCATTTCACTCTGCATCAGTTCAGTTCATTTGAATTCTCTCAATTCGTTTGTGTCCTATAAAATAGTGAAATAGGTTGGAATGAATGGTGTTTGAAAACTTTTGTAGGTCAGTTACCTATGCAGTTCATCTATCTTATATGACCTTGGAGATTAGTCATGGACAGAATCTCAGTTATCTTATTTAACTGCTTAATTAACTATAATTTGACCATTCTCATTACAGTTATTTCACATCTGTTCTATAGGGTCTCTGGATCAATTTTGTTTTATTATCCTTCTACCCAGGAAGAATTTAAATTCTTCTGCCTGAATATAGTGTTAGAAAATTAAAAACAAAAACTTGGGTATCTGGGGTCACTGGGAATATTAGTTGGCTGCATGATATATGTTATATATTAAAATTAAGTTTATTCAAGCCAATAGTGCCTTTATTTTGACAATTAAATTTTATAATATCAACGTCTCACTATCATCACAGTTTAGTATTATGGGTAATCTGTCTAGGTCAGTAATCTGTCTAGGTCAGTGTCATGTCAAAGCCCTAATGGTTGGCTTTGGGTTATTTGGAACAAATAAGTGTCGGTCATTAAACATTTACTAAGCACCTGCTTGACTAGTGTGGCCCTTTGACTGAATCCAAACTTCACAGATCAAATCCCCTTAATAAAAAGATTTGTTCTGTAAAACTTGGACTCAAGTCAAAAGGCTGCACCCAAAGACCTAGAAGGCCACATGTGGCCTCAAGGCCACAGGTTTCCCACCCCTGTGCTAGATATTAGGCACCATGCCAAGGGCTGGGATTATAAAGAAAGGTAGTCCCTGTTCTCAAGGAGCTCACAATCTAATGGGGGAGACAACTTGCAAACAACTATGTACAAACAAAGTATATACAAGATAAATAGGAAATAATCAACAGAGGGAAGAATTAGGGGGAGTTTGGGAGAGGCTTCCTATAGAAAGTGGGTGTTTTAGCTGAGATTTGAAGCCAGACAATCCAGGAGGTAAAGATGAGAGAGAGCATTCTATGCATGAAAGATAGCCAGTGAAAATGCCCACAGTTGGGAGATGGAATGTCTTGTTCCTAGAACAGCAAGTAGGCCAGTGTCACTACATGTTTGAATATATGTGTGGTGGAGTGGTGGTGTTAACAAGTTGTAAGAAGACTGGAAAGGTATGGAGGAGGTAGGCTAAGTAATGAAGAGCTGTGAATGCCAGAAGATTTTATATTTTAATTCTGGAGGTGATAGGAAGCCACTGAAGTTTATTGAGTTGAGGGGCTTTGCCGTGTTTGCACCTTTGCTCTAGGAAAATCACTTTAGTGACTGATTAGAGGATGGCCTGGAGTGAGAAGAGAGTTGTAGCAGGCAGACTAACCAGAAGGCTATTATAGCGGTTGAGTCATGAGGAGATGAGGACCTGTACCAGAGCAGTGGCAATATCAGAGAAGAAAAAGAGCATGTTCAAGAGATATTGCAAAGGTAAAATGAATAGGCCTTAACAATAGATTGGATATAGGAGTGGTGAGAGAGTGAAGAGTCAAGGATGACACCTGGGTAGTGTGAAGTATTAATCAATCATCAATCCATTATTTACTCTTAATCACATGTATTGTTTTGCTGTTATAAATCTTAATAAGTTAAACAAGTATGTATAAGACCCTGTGCAGGCTGACAGAGTGTTGGCTCCAGTTAGCTACCCTGATGAGCCAACTTCTTATTTTTGCTCTTGCAGAGCTCAGCTGACAAGCTAACATTTATCTATAACATTTGCATTAATAGGTATCTAATTGTTTTGATGATTTCTGTTTTGTAATATAGTTTGAGGGGCAGTTAGCTGGCACAATGGATAGAGCGCCGGACCTGGAGTCAGAAAAACCTGAATTCAAATCCGGCCTCAGATACTTACTAGCTGTGAGACCCTGGGAAAGTCACTTCTCTGTGTTTGCCTCAGTTTCCTCATCTACAAAATGAGCTGGAGAAGGAAATGGCAAACTACTTCAATATCTTTGCCAAGAAGACCCCAGATAGGGTCATGAAGAGTCAAACATGACTGAAACAACTGAACAACAACAACAACAAATATAGTTTGAAATCTAGTACTGCTCAGTTCCCTTCTTCCCCCCTCCTTTTTTTTTTCATTTTTCCATTGAGATTCTTTTTGCTCCTAAGGATGAATTTCATGTTTTGTTTTTTTTTTCCTAGTTCAATGAAATAATCCTTTGGTAGTTTAATTTGTATGGTGCTGAAGATGTACCAATATGCCCTTTATAGCATATCTAGTCATCAATAACTGAAAATATCTTAATCATTTTGTCTGCTTTTTTCATTTAAAAAGGTTATATATACATGGGTATATTATCTTCTTTGTGCCGAATATCTATGTAGAATTACTGGTAAGGAAAGAGTATATGATTAGATTATAAATTTGTATGCTTTAAAAACAATTTTTGAATAAAGTCAATGGATGTAAGCACTTATTGCTGACTACATATTTCATTGGGATTAAGTTCATTAGTCCGTATAAACACACATAGGAAGAATTACCTAAAGTAATTGTGTTATATTTATGTTTACTTATAGTCTTAACTTTTATTAAATAAAAAAATAGAAGTAAAACAAAAAAGTGCTACTGTACCTTAGCTTTTATTTTTTTTTGGTTTTTTTTTTTAACCTTAGCTTTTATTGAGGAATTTTCACACACACACACAAATTACCATATTGGATTCTACTTCATTTTACTAATTTTGTTATTGTCCTTAATGTTTTTGTTCCGTATAGGAAATTCACATGGGGCATTGTGTAAATCTGACTGATGGTGCTGTGGAAGCTGTTCTTACTTGCTGCCCTCAGATACACATTTTACTCTTTCATGAATGCCCTCTGATAACAGGTTAGTTTGCTATTATATGAATGCTTCTTTATGTTGACTTTCAAGAATGATTAATTTCCATTTTTCAGGTTTTATAATAAATTATCAAGTTTATGTGTAGTATTAGTCTGCCTGCCACAAGTCTCTTTCCACTCCATTGTAATGGAAGAGATAGGCTAGGTAATGAAGAGCTTTGAATGCCAGAGGATTTCATATTTTAATTCTGGAGGTGATAGGAAGCCACTGAAGTTTATTGAGTTGAGGGGCTTTGCCGTGATTGCACCTTTGCTCTAGGAAAATCACTTTAGTGACTGATTAGAGGATGGCCTGGAGTGGGAAGAGAGTTGTAGCAGGCAGACTAACCAGAAGGCTATTATAGCAGTTGAGTCATGAGGAGATGAGGACCTGTACCAGAGTAGTGGCAATATCAGAGAAGAAAAGGAGCATGTTCAAGAGATATTGCAAAGGTAAAATGAATAGGCCTTAACAACAGATGGGATGTAGGAGTGGTGAGAGAATGAAAGTCAAGGAAGATACCTAGGTAGTGTGAAGTATTAATCAATCATCAACCCATTATTTACTCTTAATCACATGTATTGTTTTGCTCTTATATATCCTAATAAGTTAAAGAAGTATGTGCACGACCCTGTGCAGGCTGACAGGGTGTTGCCTCCAGTTAGCTTCCCTGATTAGCCAACTTCTTATTTTTGCTCTTGCAGAGCTCAACTGACAAGCTAAGTTGCTCATTTCTATTAAAAGCCTTGCTGTAGATTACAAATTGTTAACAGTTAAAATTAAGTTAAACTGAGGCACAAAGTTCCAAGCATGAAAATTTATTATTAGTGAAGTATGAATTTGCCAATAAATGGGATCTCAGCTTCCTCAGCAAAGCTAAGACACCATATGAGGGGAACAGCTGTCTTTTATAGTTTTGGGAAGTACAGAACAAAGAACAGGACTTTGTAGGTGGGGAACAAGTTATGACTGGTTAAGAGATCAACATCATGAATTGCAAAATCAATGAAATTGGATATAGTGCTAAGGCATGGGGGACAATATAATTGGTTAAAAATTGGGAATGAAGGGCTAGCAACAACCCTCTCCTTCCCTCCTGTGACTAAGAAATAGTCATTGTTTGAATCTACTTGCAAGGTTACAGATAGTGGAACAGACTTCTTTGGATAATAAACCAGACATCCTTGACTCAAGAATAGAACAGTGATTGACAAGAGAACTGGATTTCTAAACTTAACTCATTAAAGGCCACTGGATTCTGAACTAAGCTTAGCAATAAAGAACCATGACTTAGGCGGTTACAAGACAAAATCAATTAACTATAAATAGGAGCAATTGAAAAAAGGACACAGAATCAATCTGATCATTTCAAAAGCATAGTTACTCTACTATGGGCCATCCCTTGGCTCACTTCTTAAACAGTCCTAATCACTGAATGGGTGAATCAGTGAAAGTAAGAACTTGGAAATACCTTAGCTTAAAAAGGCCAGTCTCCCACTACATCCTGGGCCGTATCCAATTGTCCTGATCTATTTCTGGCCACTGGACCCAGATGGCTCTGGAGGAGAAAGTGAGGCTGGTGACTTTGTACAGCCCTCTCTCATTCAAATCCAATTCAGTTGCAAGTCATGGCATCGTCTTCCTGATATTATGGTCCTCTTCAAGAATGAAGGACAAACCACACAACTACAAACACAACTCTACTATCACTTATTCTAATGCCCACAATTTGAGTGTTGCTAACCTGCTAAAGTTCCATATTCGCAGATGTCAGTTCCCTAATTTTGTCAGTAATGCTTACACAAGACAGATTTCCATGATGATGGTAGTGGAAGCTTTTGTAATGCCCCAGTCAGAAAGTATAAATGTCCATGTTAATCAGTATCCTTTTCCTCAATTTGTGATCAATGTTCCTCATCTACTTTTTTTTTTTCTTTCTAATGTTCCTCATTTATGCCTACAAAATGCTCTGTAAGCTGATAATGAGGTCCTTCTACTAACTAAGGTGGTCTTGAACTTGACTGGCAAAATTGTTAGTAAATTGATTGTGCTTGGACCTCTTCAACTCAGTTTCTCTTACAGATTTCAGACTTAACAGTAGGGAGTCTGGGCTGGGATTCTTATAATCTAGCCACTGCTTAGATTCTTATAATCTAGCCACTGCTCAGATTCTTTTAATCTAGCCACTGCTTAGATTCTTAAAATCTAGCCACTGCTCAGATTCTTAAAATCTAGCCAATAGCTTACTAATGTTCAGACTCCTTAAGAGTCTGCCCAATATGATGGATGTTCTAATAAAACTAAACCTTGTCTTTGGCCGAAAAAAAAATAAAGATAATAAGTTCAGTTTTGGACATATTGATTGTAAGATGCCTACAGAGCATCAGGTTTGAGATGTCTAATAGGTAGCTGTAGATATGAGACTAAAGGTCATCAGAGACAAAGTGCTTCTATGGCTGCATAGAAATGAAGAATCTGATCCACACAAAAGATCAAGAAAAACTTAAGTCATCTTAATTTCATCTTGATTGTCTACAATTAGGATAACAGCAAAAACAACTATAGAAGTTATCTGCAGTTTTATTAGGTCTGATCTTACTTTTTTGTACAAATGGAATATTCATTCATTCAACAAGCATTCATTAAGCACCTACCATCTGGCTAGCACTTTTGAGAAACCTAAGGGAAAGGGACCAAGAAATCTAGAATCCGGGTGAGGTTTACAGTAATATGCAGAGCACAGTCTGTAAAATGTAATAGCAACTAGAACAGTAACTAGAAAGATCTGTCTGCTCTTTATTTAGTATTTTATTTTTCCCCAGTTACATGGAAAAGCAATTATTAACATTCATTTTTAAAACTCTGAGTTCCAAATTTTTCCCTTCCTCTCTCCCCACTTCCCCACATTGAGAAGGCAAGTAATTCAATATAAGTTATGTGTGTACAGTCATGCAAAACATATCCATAATAGTCATGTTGTGAAAAAAAAAACATGAACAAAAAAAACTCAAGAAAAATAGAGAGTTTTAAAAAGTATGCTTCAATCTGTATTCAGACACCATCAGTTATTTCTCTGGGGATGGATAGTATTTTTCATTAAAACTCCTTCAGAGCTGTCTTGGATTGCTGCATTGCTGAGTCATTCACAGCTGATCATCGTACAATATTGTTGTTACTTTGTACACAGCTCAGTTCACTTTGCATCAGCCCATGCAAGTCTTTTCAGGTTTTTCTGAGAGCATCCTGCTCATCATTTCTTATCACACAATAGTATTCCATCATAATCACATACCATGACTTGTTCAGACATTCCTCAATTGATGGGCATCCCTTCAATTTCTAATTTTTTGCCACCAGAAAAGGGTTGCTATAAATATTTTTGTACATATAGGTCCTTTTCCTTTTTGATTTTTTATTCCTTTGGGATACAAACCTAGTAGTGGTATTGCTAGGTCAAAGGGTATGCATGGTTTTATAGCCCTTTGGGCATAGTTCCAAATCGCTCTACAGAATGGTTGAATCAGTTTATACTCCACCAACAGTGCATACATAATGTGTCATTTTTCCTACATCCCTTCCAACATTTGTCATTTACCTATTCTGTCCTATTAGCCAATCTAATAGGTATGAGGCAATACCTCAGAATTGTTTTAATTTGCATTTCTCCAATCAATTCTGAGTTAGAGCATTTTTTCATATGGCGATAGATAGTTTTGATGACTTCATCTGAAAACTGATCATATCTTTTGGTCGTTTATGAATTGGGACATGGCTCTTATTTTTATAAATTTGACTCAGTTTTCTATTATGTTTGAGAAATGAGGCCTTTATCAGAGAAACTTGTTTTAATTTTTTTTCACAGTTACTATTCCTAACTGTATTTTCCTCTTTTTCCCTCCCCCATTTATTCTATTCTTTCTCTCCTTTCACCCTGTCCCTCCTCAAAAGTGTTTTGCTTTTGACCACCCCCCCCAATTTGCCCTCCCATTTATTACCCCCCCTTCTCTTGTCTCCTTCCCCTACTGCTTTCCTGTAGGGTAAGATAGACTTCTATATCCAACTGAATGTTTATGTTATTCCTTCTTTGAACCAATTCTGATAAGAATAAGGTTCACTCACTCCCCCTCACCTCCCACCTCTTCCTCTCCATTGTAAAAGCTTCTTCTTGCCTCTTTTATGTGAGATAATTTTCTTCATTCTACCTCTCCCTTTCTCTTTCTCCCAGTACATTCCTCTTTCACTCCTTAATTTTATTTTTTCATATCATCCCTTCATATTCAACTCACACCTGTGCCCTCTGTGTCTATATACACTCCTTCTAACTACCCTAATAATGAGAAAGGTCTTATGAATTACAAATATCATCTTCCCATGTAGGAATATAAACAGTTTAATGATTTTTTACCTTTTTATGCTTCTCTTGAATCTTGTATTTGAAAGTCAAATTTTCTATTCAGCTCTGGTCTTCTCATTAAGAATGTTTGAAAGTCCTTTATCTCATCGAATGTCTATTTTTTTCCCCTGAAGAATTATACTTAGTTTTGCTGGGTAGGTGATTCTTGGTTCTAATCCTAGCTCCTTTGACCTCCGGAATATCATATTTCTAGTCTTCTGATCCTTTAATGAAGAAGCTGCTAAATCTTGTGTTATCCTGACTGTGGCTCCACCATACTTGAATTGTTTCCTTCTGACCGCTTGCAATATTTTCTCCTTGACGTAGGAACTTTGAAATTTGGCTATAATATTCCTGGCAGTTTTCATTTTGGGATCTCTTTCAGGTGGTGGTCGGTGGATTCTTTCACTTTTTGTTTTACCCTCTGGTCTTGGAATATCAGGGCATTTTTCATTGATAATTTCTTGAAAGATCATGTCTAGGCTCTTTTTTTTTTACCATGACTTTCAGGAAGTCCAAGAATTTTTAAATTATCTCTCCTGGAGATCTATTTTCCAGGTCAATTGTTTTTCCAATGAGATATTTCACATTTTCTTCTTTTTTTTCATTCTTT